ACGAAGGCCTCAGCACCGTCAAACCCACCCCCTACGAGGTCTTGTTCCTGGCCCACCACGAGGGACCCTCCGGGAGGGATCTCGTAGCCCGCTCTGAAGCCCGAGCCTGTGGCCGCCAGCCTGCGGTCCACGTGCAGCCAGTACCTGCCCTCGGTGGACGCCCAGACCACACACACATGGTGCCACTGGCCGTCCAGCAGCGGCTGCAGCGGCAGCTCCCTGAAGGCTGGGTCTCCAATCACAAAGTGGACGGAGCCGGGGGCCAGGGAGTCCCGGCCATGCAGCACCAGCTTGTTGTCGTTGTCCTGGGTGGCGTAGGAAAGAAGGGTGCCCAGGTAGCCAGCGGCCGCGCGGACCCAGCTGCAGAAGGACAGGGCTCGCAGGGCTGTGAGCAAGCTGGGACTGAAGGAGAGCACGTTCTGTGTGGAGGCATTCGGGAAAATAAACACAGGGCCCACGTTGCAAACTAGAAAAAGAGGGGGGAGAAGAATCAGTCCCCGAACTGTTCACGAACCCGGAATTAGCGAGCTCCCTGAGCTGCCGTGTCGTGCTGACTTGCAGTGACAACTATACCTGGCCACAAGATCACCCACTCCATGGGTAGGACCTGGGAGCGAAGGCAGCCTGCCAGGACCGGCTACATGCCTGGGTGAGCTGAGCTATCTGCCCACAGTGCCGACCAGAAGCTCCCTACCACTGGAGGAGCCTCCGCCTGACTGCCCTTCCACTCCTGAAACCGATCACCACCCATTTACCAATGGAAAGCAGCCCAGCTCCGGGCAGGAGCAGGAAGATCATGAGTTAGAAGCCAGCCTGGGTAAAGTGAGACCCTATCTGAGGATCACGGTTCAAAGCCAGCCTGTGCAGGAAAGTTGTGAGGCTTTTACCTCTAATAAACCACCAGAAGTGGAGCTGTGGCTCAAGTGCTAAAGAGCTATGTTTGAGTGAAAGTGCTCAGAGACAGCACGCTGGCCCTGAGTTCAAACCCCATGACCAACAACAACAACAACAAAAACAAAAGGCTGATTGTTTAACTCAAGTGGCAGAGAAGGCAGCCCTGGGCTTGATCCCATTATAGGAGAAAACAAAAACAAAAAACCCAGCCCAGGCCCGGGTCTATTACTTTTGTAGCTGGTGGTCAAATCCACCGTGGGTCTCACACAGCTCAGGTCAAAACCGTGGCCAGAGAGGTTTCCTCCACAGGACACAGAGACACAGAGAAAAAGCGGCCTCATCCCCCAGCCCAGGATGGAGGTGCCTGTGGTCCCTGGCTGCAGCTCTTCCTAGAATCCTGACATAACTGTCAAACCTCTGCCTTTGTCCGGTTTCTGCTTCTGCCGCACCCGTCTTGCTTTCTGGGGCTCCTCCTTCCTCTCCCTCCTCCCTGACTCCCAGTAGTTACATGGGGCCACTAGGATAATCTAGGATCATGTCCCTGTCTAAACCCATGACAGCGACCCTGAGAGACACCCTTCTGCTGTGTAAGGACCATGGTGACCTGGCCCAGCGGGGGCCTGCAGACAGCCCTTGGGGAGGAAGCTCAGGAGGAGCTGGAGGGGCAGCTGGATCTCTGAGGTGGGGCATCAGGCCTGGGACACTTACTATGTCCCTGTCCCTGGGGGGCCCGTGCCAGCTGAGACGGGTCCTGGGGGCGCACGAGAGACCGATGGACGCTCGGGTCGGGGAGGGCGGAGGTGTCCTCAGGGTGATTCTGGAGTGCGGAAGCCCCCGGTGTCTGCCTACCCCTCTGCAGCTGCAGGGAGCCTGGGCCTGGCTTTGCGGGCCGAGAGGGGGTCAGGGCGAGGGTCAGTGGCGGGACTGAGGGGCTGTGATGGTCAGTCTGCAGACGCCCCTCGAGGATGGCCAGTCTGGCTCCCTGGCTGTGGATCTGGCGCATCAGGCGGGCCAGTGTGGCCTGCATGGCCTGCACGTCCCGTGCCAGGCCAGCCAGGGCTTCCTGCCGCGCCTTCTGCTCATCTGCCTCCTGTGCCCGCTGCCTGCCCTGCGCACTCAGAGTAAGGTGCAAGGCCTGGAGCTGCGTGTCCACCTTCCGGCTTCTGCGCTGGCTCTTCCTCACCCAGCTCTTCAGGTGGGCCAGGTTCCCCCAGACTATGGCCTGGGACCTGTTGACTGCGAGAGCCGTGGCCTGGCTGTCTTCCTCCAGGCTCTGGAACCGGGCATCGATGTTGTAGGACACGTTGTAGTTGCTGGCAATGCTTTGCAGGTGTGTTAAGGTCACCTCTTGGAATCTCCAAAACTGCAAAGAGGTCACAGCATTTATGGGGGGGGGGGGGAGGGAGACTGTTTCCACTCATAGCAGAAGCACCTGCAGCACCGCCTGGTGACAGGGTTGCTCATGCCGTGACACCGGAGACGTGGGCAGATAAATGGCCATGGCTGGTCCTGCAGCTTCACAGTGAGGGCTGGGGGCTCCAGGCGCACAGTGGCTGTCCTTCCCTGTGGTCAGCGGCTTGTCCTGCCTAGCTTGCGGGGGGAGGGGGGGCTGCCGGATGGGGGATGGGCCGTGGGATCCCTTTGCTGGAATAGAAGGAGGACACACGCAGGGCCCTCGGGGCTATCTATAATCTCTGCTTTGAGATGCACTAGAACCTTCTCAGTCCCATACCTGGGGTAGTCTGGGAACCTTGGGCCCCCAAGCTCCCTGCTGCTCAGGCCTCTGGGATGCCTGGTGTAGTTTCGCAGGCCCTGCCGCAGATCATCTGACTGTACTCAGAGCCCGGGCCAGCTGGTACTCAGAGCCCGGGCCAGCTGGCCCTTTCCTGGTGTCCAGATAGGTGAAAATGCCATTATCTGCTAGCAAAAAATCCCCCCAAACCCCAAACCCATCAAACCAAAAACAAAAAAAACCTTAAACTGCAAGCTCATGTCCACAGAGCACCAATGCTTACAGCTGTTTCTGTAACATCCACCATTCATCTGTTGCCATTAAAAAAAACAAAACAAAAAACAAGCCAGGAGCTGGTGGCTCACACCTGTCATCCTAGCTACTCAGGAGGCTGAGATCTGAGGATCGAGGTTCAAAGCCAGCCCGGGCAGGAAAGACCGTGAGACTCTTATCTCCAATACTACCAGAAAACTGGAAGTGGCGCTGTGGCTCAAGTGGTAGAGCACTCGCCTTGAGTTGAAGAGCTGAGGGACAGCACCCAGGCCCAGAGTTCAGGCCCACGACCGACAAAAAATAAAACAAAAATCAACCCAACTGCCCCAAGTGAGGCCCGCCTACCTGCTCTTCTAGTCTACGGAGCCTCTCAAAAAATGGTTTTCTTTGCCCCGCTGGGCGTGTTTCCTGAGATGAAGCCCCATGTAGATATACTAGCATGAAGACAAGGAGGAAAGACAGAGTCTTCCTCCCCGAGCAACCCATGGTGAGAGGTGTGGAGGTCCAGCAGGCTCCACCGAACGCAGGAAGCCTCGTCTCCCCACACATCTGCCTTCCCCCGTATCTTCTCTCTTCTTGGATGAGTGGTTTTCCTTCCTCAGCCCTGGCTGGATGTAAGGTTCTTCCTGCCACCTTAATGAAAGGCATGTGCCTTGAGGCGCATGGGCTCTGAGAAGAACCCTGGGTTCCCAAGGAAACAAGTGTTAAAACAGAAGCAAACAGTTTATTTTGGAAAGTCATTCCACGGGGTGCATGCGAGGCCTGGTCCGGTTGGCCCAGAAACTGATGGGAGCTAATGGCTCTAACAGGAGCACATGGACTTGCAGAAGCAAGATGGGCAACCCCACAGGGGCCTGCAACTCATCGGAGCCAGGTCTGCACTGGCCTCCGATTTGGCCATGTATGGCCTTTCTCGCTCTCTCGGAAAGGGAACTAAAATGTGATTAGGAGTTAATTTTTTTTCAAGGACCTGATTACTTTCGTTATATTTGTTGCTTGTTCTTCTGAAACAGGACTTGTTAAGAGTGTCTAGGCTGGTCTTGAACTCCTGGGCTTATGCAATCTTACCTGTCTCAAGTCTCCCAAGCAACCAGAATTACAAGGGTGTGCTGATACACAAAAACATAAAAAATTTGCACATTCATGGGATCATGATGTTTTAATACTTGAATACACTGTGTAATATTCAAATCAGGTTACACATAGCTGTCTCCTCCTGTTTTTTTTTTTTTTTTTTTTTGCCAGTTCTGGGGCTTGAACCCAGGGCCTGGGCACTCTCTCTGAGCTTGTGTAGACAAAGTGTCTTTGCAGAGCTGCAGATGGATTATCCAGATGGGTCCTGAGTCCCAACAGGCAAGCATCCTTGAGAGACTCAGATGGCAAGAGACCCAGAGCGATTGTTCCTGCAGAGATGGTGGTGGAGAAGGGAATGAGTTGCCAGGAAAAGCACCTGGAGCCCCCAGAAGCTGGACAAGAACAAAGATGGGCCCTCCCCCGACCTCCATGACCGTGGAAGGGTAATGTTACTTGAGGTTTGTGCTAATAAAACAACCCAGTAAAGCGTCCCCGGCCAGATATCCATCTTCCCCAGGACTGATGAGCCCAGAGCACCAGGCCAAGGGGTAGGCCACTGACCCACAGCTCGGCCTGGCTCATGGAAGGGATGGAGCCTGTCCTGGGGAACCACTGGCTCCTCAAGGCCCAAGATGGAGGAGCAGGCCTTATGCTTTCTGAACCAGGATGGTTTCCATTTAAAGCTGTTCATCCAGAGCAAGGCACTGGTGGCTCACGCCTGTCATCCTAGTACTCAGGAGGCTAAGATCTGAGGATCATGGTTCAAAGCCAGCCCGGGCAGAAAAGCCCCAGCCACGAGGGAGGCCCAACGTCTGGAGACACAGTCGCCCCCCCCCCCCAACCGCTGTGGATTAGCCGACAGCAGGAGTTCTCGCCCACCGCCAGACTCCCAGGTAAAGCCACGCCCACACGGCCGAACCAACACTCATCAGGCACAGACCACGCCCTCACGCCCCACAGGGCCACGCCCACAGAGGAAAGCCATCTTCTGCGCAGGCGCAGACCCAGTCGCTGCCGTCGCACGACTAATTCGTCAGGCGCGGCTGGCGCGTTCGGCCCACAGCCTTTAAACGCCCGCGGCAGCCGCCTCGGCCTGGAGACTCCGACTCGCGGCTGCTGGCCGGTCCCGACGGACTGAGCCGTTCTCCCGGGGCCGCGGCGCTGTGGCGAATCGGCGGTGACGAATCGAAGGCGGGGAGTCGGCGGCACCGGGATCCCAGACGCAGCGGCGGCTCCGGAGCCCGGGGGTGGCGGGGCCAGGTCGGGGCCGGGCCCGGGGGTGGCGGGGCCGGGGGTGGCGGGGCCAGGTCGGGGCCGGGCCCGGGGGTGGCGGGGCCAGGTCGGGGCCGGGCCCGGGGGTGGCGGGGCCAGGTCGGGGGCCGGGGCCTGGGGGTGGCGGGGGCCAGGTCGGGGCCGGGCCCGGGGGTGGCGGGGCCAGGTCGGGGGCCGGGGCCTGGGGGTGGCGGGGCCGGGGGTGGCAGGGCCAGGTCGGGGGCCGGGGCCTGGGGGGTGGCGGGGCCGGGGGGTGGCAGGGCCAGGTCGGGGCCGGGCCCGGGGGGTGGCAGGGCCAGGTCGGGGGCCGGGGCCTGGGGGTGGCGGGCCCGGGGGTGGCGGGGCCAGGTCGGGGGCCGGGGCCTGGGGGTGGCGGGGCCGGGGGTGGCAGGGCCAGGTCGGGGCCGGGCCCGGGGGTGGCGGGGCCAGGTCGGGGCCGGGCCCGGGGGGTGGCGGGGCCAGGTCGGGGCCGGGCCCGGGGGTGGCGGGGCCAGGTCGGGGTCGGGGTCGGGGGTGCCGGGGGCCAGGTCGGGGGTGGCGGGGGCCGGGGGTGGCGGGGCCAGGTCGGGGCCGGGCCCGGGGGTGGCGGGGCCAGGTCGGGGCCGGGGTCGGGCCCGGGGGTGGCGGGGCCAGGTCGGGGTCGGGGCCGGGCCCGGGGGTGGCGGGGCCAGGTCGGGGTCGGGCCCGGGGGTGGCGGGGCCAGGTCGGGGTCGGGCCCGGGGGTGGCGGGGCCAGGTCGGGGCCGGGCCCGGGGGTGGCGGGGGCCAGGTCGGGGTCGGGCCCGGGGGGTGGCGGGGGCCAGGTCGGGGTCGGGGTCGGGCCCGGGGGTGGCGGGGGCCAGGTCGGGGTCGGGGTCGGGCCCGGGGGTGGCGGGGGCCAGGTCGGGGTCGGGGCCGGGGCCCGGGGGTGGCGGGGGCCAGGTCGGGGCCGGGGCCCGGGGGTGGCGGGGCCAGGTCGGGGTCGGGGCCGGGGGGTGGCGGGGCCAGGTCGGGGCCGGGGCCGGGCCGGGGGTGGCGGGGCCAGGTCGGGGTCGGGGTCGGGGGGTGGCGGGGCCAGGTCGGGGTCGGGGTCGGGGTCGGGGGGTGGCGGGGGCCGGGGGTGGCGGGGCCAGGTCGGGGCCGGGGCCCGGGGGGTGGCGGGGGCCAGGTCGGGGTCGGGGTCGGGGCCCGGGGGTGCCGGGGGCCAGGTCGGGGCCGGGGCCTGGGGGTGGCGGGGCCAGGTCGGGGGCGGGGCCGGGTCGGAACTGGGCCGGTGGTGGTGGGGGGGGGGTGCCGGTCGGGGGCGGGGCCGGGGTTCCGCAGGCGCAGGAGGCGGGGCCTCACGAGGTGCTGCGGACTTTCAGGTGGGGGCTGTGAAGCCCCGGACTGGCCGCATCCAGGAGGGAGGAGGACAAGGAAGCCGGGACGGGAAGGCCAAGGCCCAGATGAGCTCTGGGCGAGGAGCCTGGGGAGGAGGGACTGGCCTCCCCACCTCGGCTGACCTCGGGCCTTCCTGTGACCTTCAGGCTTGCCTTGCAGGATGGACCCTGAGCTGTCTGCCATCCGCATCTCCGTCCGAGAAGCCATTCACACCCTGTCATCTTCTGAGGATGGGGCTCACATCCTGTCCACCCTGGGTGCCCTGAAGCGGTATCTGGGTGAGGCGGGCGACCCAGCCCTTGGCAGAGAGAAAGAAGAGTTTGCCACTATACACTTCTCGGCTTTCCTCAGATGTCTGTTCAGCAAGCTGAGCCCCAGCTGGTTGGAGCTGACCCCAGATGGCCAGCTGGAGCAGATCTGGGGAAGCTTCTTCCTGGAGGGCCCTGCTGACCAGGCCTTCCTGGTGATCATGGAGGCCATCGAGGGCACTGCCGGGTGAGGGGCAGGGGCAGGGGCGTGACCCGGGAGCGGTTGGTTACGGTGAAAACCCTGAATGGCCAATGACATCGGCAGCTGTGTGGGCCTCTCAGCCCTGACAGTAGGGTGTCCTGGAAGGCGTGAGGACTGAGAACTGTCCTTTCACAGCTGGACCCTGGTGTCCACTTCTCCCAGGGGAAGGACCTGCCTGTCCCAGGAAGGCCCTTGCCTCCCCTCTCCACTGCCTGGGCAGGCAGGGCTCACATCACTGGTGCAGGCAGCGAGTCAGCTCCAGCAGCAGCAGCACAGCCGGCGCCTGCTGACCTCTCTCAGGGCAGCGTGGCCTAGCTGCTGTATGCACGCCACAGACACCAATCCCAGGCGGTTTCCAGGTTGGCCGTCAGGTCACATGCCATTCCTTGTGAGGACAGCTCTGAGCGGCACTCACATCGCTCCACCAGTATCCGCTCGTTCAGAACAGGAGTTTTCCTTCAGCTCATGAGTCAGGACACCGACATCGCTTGCGTCCTAAGGGCTGTGGGAGGCGGGGAAGGAGAGGCTCAGGGTTTTCTAACACACCTGCACTGTTCAGCCCCAGCTTCCGTCTGATGAAGATGGCGCAGCTGCTGGCGAGGTTCCTCAGCGAGGGCAGGGTGGCAGCTCTGATAGAAGAGCAGTGTCGGCCACAGACGAAGCCCAGCTTCCCGCTCCTTCAGGAGACCCTGCTCAACAGGGTGGTGGGCCTGCCTGACCTCCTGGGCAACCGCCTGCAGCGGGACAACCTGGCACCGTTCTTCCCCCAGAGCTACTTCCCTCTGCTGGGGGAGGAGGCGGCCCGGGCCCTGCGGGCTGTCGTGGACACCCTCCGAGGTGAGTGTGCCACCATCTTAGCTGTCTTCCCCTCCTCCATCTAAGGAGGGTTTGATGGCTTGTGGGGACTTTGGGGTCCTGGTGGCACTATCAGGTTAGGCACCGGGGTTTCATCATGGGGGCAGGGGGGATCCTGAATTCCCTTAGTCCTTGGTTGGATACTGGCAAAGCCACCAAGCTGGGGCCTGTTCTATGCCTGTCCTTTGAGCTGAACTGCACTGCACAAGGGACTTGTCCTTGTTGGCTGTGCCTGTGATGGGCGTCCACACCGTGTTGAGGTCTTTGGGTCTGAGGCGGATGTTGAGGCTGACTTCGACGCCTTCCAAGTCACTCAGAAATGCAGCATAGCCCATGTAGTGTCAGGTTAGCTCTATAGGCGTGATCAAGAGTAAGGCGGGAGTAGGAGCCACTGAGTTCCATGAGGACGTGGCTGTCACACTCATGCCAGCAGGGTAGACGTGTCAGAACCTTTGCTGACTCCTGCAACATGGCCTATTTTTTTTTTGGAGGGGGGTAGTAGAGGGACTGGAAATTTGGGACCTCGTTAGACTTGCTTATTCATGGTTGGTAGTCTACTACTGAGCCATGCTTCCGGCCCAACCTTTGTTTTTAAATGTGACAGTACTGGGGCTTGAATTAAGGGCTGGTATTGCCCTTTATCTTTTTTTTTTTTTGTCAGTCGTGGGGCCTGAACTCTGGGCCTGGGCGCTGTCCCTCAGCTTTTCAGCTCAAGGCGAGCGCTCTACCATTTGAGCTACAGCGCCACTTCCAGTTTTCTGCTGAGTTATTGGAGATAAGAGTTTCATGGGCTCTCCTGCCCGGGCTGGCTTTGAACCATGATCCTCAGATCTCAGCCTCCTGAGTAGCTAGAATTACAGATGTGAGCCACCGGTGCCCGGCCCCCTTATCTTTTTTGCTCAAGGCTGGTGTTGTATTATTTGAGCCACAGCTCCACTTTTGGCTTATTGATGGCTAACTGGAGATATGAGCTGCTCACACACTTTTTTTTGGCCAGTCCTGGGGCTTGAACTCAGGGCCTGGGCACTGTCCCCAAGCATCTTTTGCTCAAGGCTAGCAGTCTGCCATTTGAGCCCCAGTGCCACTTCTGGCTTTTTCTGTGTATGTGGTGCTGAGGAATTGGACCCAGGGCTTCATGCAAGCTAGGCAAGCGCTCTACCACTAAGCCACATTCCTAGTTCTCTCATAGACGTTTCTGCCCTGACACTTCTGTCCAGGCTGGCTTTGAACCATGATCTCCGATACCAGCCTCCTGAGTAGCTAGGATGACAGCCGTGAGCCCTGGCTCCTGAGCCCAGTTCTCTCCTTGTTCTCCATCTTCTCATGGCTCCTCTTTCACTGATGAGCAAGTCCTTTATTTATTTATTTTTTGGATCCAGTCGTGGGGCCTGAACTCTGGGTCTGGGTGCTGTCCCTCAGCTCTTCAGCTCAAGGCTAGCGCTCTACCACTTGAGCCACAGCACCACTTCTGGCTCTTTTTCTTTTTGCTTATGTGGTGCTGAGGAATCGAACCCAGGGCCTCAGGCATGCAAGGCAAGCGCTCTACCACTGAGCCACCTTCCCAGCCCTGCAAGTCCTTTATTTTTTCGTGAGCGGTGGCAGCTGCTCCAGTGTCCACCACCAGGCCGCAGTCCAGTGCTGTTCTGTAGTGGGCCTGTGACTGAGTCCCCTCTCAGTGCCTGCTTTTCCTTGGTGACTTTCTGCCCATTTTCACGTGGCAGTGATGGCTAGGTGGGCTGACTGGCATGGGTGAAGCTTTGGCGTTTTCTGAGTGCGATTCCCCGTCCAGATCTTGGCTGGCAGGAGACTGGCTTGTCCTTGTACGCCTGTTCTGAGTGGAGCAGTGTTCTCACAAATAGGAGCCACTTCTTGGCTTCCTTACGTCCGTCGCGCCTTCACAGTCAGTCTTGCTTTCTGTCTCAGAGGGCCAGGACTGTTCCGTCTCCTTCGTGTCTCGAGTCCTGGGGAAGGTCTGCATGCAGGGCAGACAGAGTGAGTGGCACCCATTCCCTCGCACCTTTCCTGGGGGCGGGGGGATGGGAGTGGGTGTGGGGGGGTAGTCTGGTGTCACTGGGCATCCCCACAGCCTTGTCCTCAGTGGGCCCCCTTGTGGTGTCCACTCTGAGTCCTGGCTGTGCTGTGAGCCCGTGGGCCTATGGGCATCGGCGAGCCCATGGCCCCCTGGCTGGGCACAGCTCCTGAGGCCCAGGCTTGTGTCTCCTCAGAGGAAATCCTGGGTGTGCTGGTGCCCCGGCTGTCGGCGCTCACCCAGGACAGCTGTCTGTGGCAGCGGGTCTGCTGGCGCCTGGTGGAGCAGGTGCCTGATCGGGCCATGGAGGCTGTGTTGACTGGGCTCATGGAGGCTGCACCGGGGTAAGCCGCCAGGTGCCCCTCTGAGTTAATGTTTCTCTGGGGTGCGGGTGGGGAGCCTACTGAGGCCACTGTGTGCCCTCCACCCTGGTTGCGCTTGTGGGGTGTGAGGGCTGGCTCTTCCTCAGCATCGGTGTTTCTAGGTGGCCACTGGTTGTACAAGTGCAGGTCCTTATGCTTTTCACAGCCTAGCTGGCCCCCCTACCCCGAGTCTATGCCCAAGTAGACCCCCAACCTCTGACAGGCCTCCCAGCTCTACGCCCAAGTAGACTCCAACCTCTGACAGGCCTCCCAATCCTATGCCCAAGTAGACTCCAACCTCTGACAGGCCTCCCAATCCTATGCCCAAGTAGACTCCAACCTCTGACAGGCCTCCCAACTCTACGCCCAAGTAGACTCCAACCTCTGCAGTCCGCAGGATCTTTCAGTCCCAGGGCCCTTGGCGTTTCCTGGTGAGGAGGAGGGGCAGACATGGGAGAGTGCCTTTCCTAAGCTCCTGCGAGGATGGCTGTGACCCCGCCCCTCCCGTCCCCACCCACAGGCCTGAAGTCCTGTCTCGACTTCTGGGGAACCTAGTGGTGAAGAATAAGAAGGCCCAGTTTGTGCTGACCCAGAAGCTTCTGTTCCTGCAGTACCGGCACACGGTGAGAAAGCAAGCAGGGCATGTGCTGCCCTGAGCACTGGAAAAACTCTATCAGAAACGGAGTTGGCTGGGAATGGACTTTGGTGGGCGAGAGCCTGCCTGCTTGTCCTGCACAAGACCCAGCATTCCATGCCAGCGCCACATGCACAAACTCCCCCCCAGGAAGGGTCGGTGAAGTGGGGGTACATCCCTCCTACTGATAGGCCTGCTGTGAACCCCCTGCCCCCGGAAGGGTCGGTGAAGTGGGGGTACATCCCTCCTACTGATAGGCCTGCTGTGAACCCCCCCGCCCCCGGAAGGGTCGGTGAAGTGGGGGTATATCCCTCCTACTGATAGGCCTGCTGTGACCCGGGCACTGGGCACCAAGCAGGCATTTCACATGTCCCTGGCCCTCCTTCCTGCCCTGGAGGTGCCCTTGCCAGCTCTGTTCGGTGGTACCAGGATGTGGCTGCCCAGTGTCCAGAATCCAGCTCAGGGTGGCCGGCATGTCGGCATCAGGTGTCAAGAGCGGGGCTGGGACCGAGTCCTGGTGGCTTATCTCCATCACTGGTTTCTTAGTGATTACTGTGAGCTGAACTCTGTCTTGGGTGCCACCTGCCTCACAGCCATCACCCTCCGTGAGGGGCCCGCGCTGCACACTAAGCCAGCAGTGCAGTGCATCACCAGGAACTGCTGGGCCCTGGGGGCAGCCCAGGGCTGCAGGGGTCTGCAGCAGACCTCCTATTGAGCACGGAGAGCAGTGCCCTGGAGGAGGCCTGGCCAGGCCGCGGAGCAGCCTCCGAGTGAGCCATCAGGAGGGTGGGCCAGGCTGGCCTGAACTGGCACTGGGCCTCTTGTGGCAACGGCAGGAGGCAGGGAGCTGAGAAGGCCAACTAGGCTGCCGGCAGGCCTGAGCAGGGCGTGCTGAGTGCGCTGTGGCCCGGTGTTCATTCCGGCTCTTGTGAGGACTGAGGTGGAGCCAGGGTGGAACTGCGTGGTGGGCAGCTGGGGACAGTGGCCTACGCTGGCAGCCAGGTACCACTCTGCATAGAGCAGGAGGGAAGCCCTGAGCTCTTCATACCTCAGCTGCTGGCCAAGGGGCAGTGGGCAAATGCAGTCCGAGTAGATTGAGAGCCAGAGATGCCCCACCCAACCCTGTGAGGGGGTATCGGAGCCCCTCGCCCCACAGTCCCAACGGGATGGCCACAAAGCAAGAACTGCAGGTCCCAGCGTGGACGCCAGGTGCCCTTTCCTGGGTGAAAGAGCAACTGCTCACTGAGTGGCCCGAGGCCAGGCCAGCACCCAGTGAGGCTGGCAACCTAGAGCCGAGCGTGGCGAATGGCGGCCATCAGAACAGGTGTTGGAGTTGGTGGCAGGAGCCTCGTCCCCACCAGTGCCGTCAGTGAAGCGCAGGGGAAGGAGAAGTGGGAGTCAAGGAATTGAATCTCACAGTTCTGCTAATGGAAGAAGGCCAAAGAGTAAGGAGAAAGCTGACCCTCGGTGTGTCCCGCTGGCATGGGAGACACACCAGGGGTGGGGCCGCAGGCAGGCTGGGATCTGAAGTGCAGTGCTGAGTGACTTCCGCTCTGTGAGCCAGAACTAGGGCCAGCTACTCCATCGCTAAGCGTGTGCTCCAGCCTGGATGACAGGGACAACTTCCTTAGAGACACTAGGTGGCAGGGAGAGCGTGTTCTCTGCGGTGACAGTGCGGGCTTTTGCCGTAGACGCCCATGCTGCAGAGCCTGCTGGGGTACCTGGCCGCGGACAGCCAGCGGCGGCCGCTCCTTGTCCAGGTAAGGGCCGCCTTTCATCTCATCCCCAGGGTGCCCGGGCTGTCCTCGGGCGGGGATGGCGGGTCTAGCTTTGCGAGTGCTGGAGCCCCGCGCAGTGGCTGGACAGCCTGGTACCGAGCCACGCGCGGTCCTGGGCCGTGGCAGAGGGGCTGCCTGACCAGCACGACCACACCACCCACAGGCCCTGAAGGAGCTGCTGGAGACGTGGGGCAGCGGCAGCGCCGTACAGCACGCGCCCCTGGCTCAGCAGCGCTACATCAGCATAGCCATCCTCATCTGCCTGGCACACCTCGGGGAGCCGGAGCTGCAGGACAGGCGGGACGGTGAGCGTGCGGCATGCGTGGCCTGGGCGCCGCCTTGCCGTGGGCGCCCCAAGGAGCCCTCAGGGCTCACGTCTGCTGCTTCCAGAATTGCTGGCCAGCATGATGGCGGGGGTGAAGTGCCACCTGGACAGCAGCCTGCCTGCCGTGCGCCGCCTGGGCATGGTTGTGGCCGAAGCCCTCAGCTCCCGCACCCACCCTGAGGGGCCCGCCCTGAAGTTCCAGGTAGGCAGGGCCGGCCTCCTGGGGGTCGGGGTGTTGGCGCATGGGGGCTGCGCCGGATTCATCACAGACATCCTCCAGACAGGCAGGGGAAGAGCCTGTCTTGTTGCCCAGGGCTGCTGGAAGGCCTGGCCAAGCTGGCGACAGGTTGCTCTGAGCAGGTGGCTTGCTTCTGCTGCCCGCTGTGAGGTTACCACTGGGCCTGGCCTGCGTGGGTCCCTGACTGCACCCTGCCTAGTCTCACGGTGCTGGCCGAAGTTCCCTTGTCTGCTGAACCCCTGGGATGCCCTCGGGGCATGGCACCACGGCCATCCTCAGCTCCTCGCAGGGGAGATGAGCCGAGCTCAGCATGGCCAGGCTCCATGGGGTTGGACAGACTGGAGGCCAGGCTGCGGCTGTCCCTTGGGGGCATGCTCCTCTGTGGGCAATGCTAACCCTGGCACATCTGTACTTGTAGTATGAAGACGACGATGAGGTGAGCCGTGAGATGTTGGCCTTGGCCACCCACCAGCCTCTGGGGGACGGCTCTGAGGCGAGGTGAGGGCCCCCGCATTCCTGGTCTGAAGCTCCCTCTGGGAAGTCAGTGGCCTGGGTAGAAGTCAGGGATGATGTGGGTGGGTGTGGCAGAAGCCTCACCACAGACGCCGGCTGAGGCTCCCACGGGCGGCCCCCCCGATCACTTCGCTGCCCTTCCCTAGAGACCCATCCCTGGCTCCTCCGGCTGCAGAGACCCCTGCAGAGATTGCTGGAGATGGTGCCCAGTCCCCAGGTCTGCCACAGGGCTCCGGCTCGGAGCTGGACAGGTAGGGCAGGGCCCCTGGAGAGCGGGGTGAGTGAGCGAGCGGTCTGTGGGCTCCTGTGCTCCCGGCGCCTCCACTCTTGCTTTCAGCCCGAGGGTCCTGTCCCCGCTCTGATTTTTGCAGCCCTTGCTGGTTGTCTTTCCTGGAGTCCTGGGGGAATCTCAGCATCTTCAGGATTTGTCCCTGGAGAGTGGGAGTCTGCTCTCTGGGGACAGGTGCTTCTACCATCTGCTCTGTGTCCACAGTGATGATGAGTTCGTCCCCTATGACATGTCACAGGACAAGGTGCTGAAGAGCAGCAAGGTGCCCCTGTATGTTCGAGACTGTGTGGAAGGTGGGTTTTGGCTGGGGTCACATGTGGGCCTCACTGTGGCTTTGGCTGAGGGGTGGCTGAGCCCGCCTATCCTCATGGCCGTCCTGACCGCCCAGGCCCACCAGCCCCGGGGCTGAGGCGGGCCTGCCTGGTTCTCTGCAGTCCTGGCCGCATCGGAGGACCCGGAGTGCTGGGAGGCTGCGTTGCAGGCCCTTGAGGGCCTGGTCCACAGGAGCCCTGAGGCCACTCGGGAGGTGAGCAGGAGGGGCTGGGCCCCATGGTGACAGCTCTCCTGGAAGGGAGCCTGCCTCATCAGAGCCCTGCTGAGCGGGTGGCAGGTGGGCGGCCCGGGCCGAGCGGGCAGTGGCTGGCTGGGGCTGTGGGCCCCTGACCCCACCCCTCGGCTGTGCCAGGTGAGTGTGGAGCTGGCCAGGGTGCTGCTGCACCTGGAGGACAGGACCTGCCTGGTGGGATTCGAGAGACTGCGGCAAAGAGCCCTGGTGCTGGTCACGGTCACAGACCCCGCCCGGGTGAGTCCCCGCACAGCGACCCAGCTAGGGCAGCCGGTGGGGAGCACGGCGGAGGCTCTGTCCTGTACCCTGCAGCAGCCTCTGGAGGCCTGGCCCATGGCGGTCTCTCTTCTCATGGCTTAGGTAGCAGAGTATCTGACCTCACAATTCTACGCTCTGAACTACAGCCTCCGGCAGCGCATGGACATCCTGGACGTAAGTGCGCTGGCCCTCTCGGTCCCAAGCTGCCCCAAGATAGGGAGCCCCAAATCCTTGAAGAGAGTGATCAAGGTCCCCCCAGGGCTCTGATGGCCGCGGACCTGACGTGTAGAAGATGGTCCTTCCGCAGAGCCGTGTGTCTTCTCCTCTAGGTCCTGGTTCTGGCAGCCCAGGAGCTGTCCCGGCCAGGGCGCCTCCAGAGGCCTGGCTGTTATGGCTCCCCCTGTCCTGGCCCCCAGAGCTTGCCAGCAGTGGCCACCCCTCAGCCTGGCAGTGCTGCGGCTCCTGACTGGCGCGTGGTTGTGGAAGAGCGGATCAGGAGCAAGACCCGGCGGTTCTCCAAGGTCAGCCGAGCTGGACTGCGTGAGGGGGTGGCAGGGTGAGCAGTCAGGTGCTCCCAGGGTCCGTGTGTGCCCGGGGGCGGCTCCTGTGCTGGGAGCTGGAGTGGCCCACCAGAGGCCAGCCAGTGGCCACCGTGTGGCTGGGCTTCCCGGCCAGAGGTGATCTTACCCTACCCCACGTCGGCAGTATCTAGACAGTCTGGGTTTTCACAGGGCTGGCCGAGAGCCTGGGGGCTGTTCAGCATCACAGTGCTGAGAAGTCCCACCGTGACGACCAGGAGTGGTGAATGTGGGACGTCCCGGGCCGGGCCGGAGCAGGCAGGTGCCGGACCCTGCAGCCTCCAGCTCAGGTGACCAGTGGGGCATAGCGGCCACCTTTAAAAAATTTTTTTTTGCCAATCCTAGGGCTTGAAGTGAGGGTCTGGGCGCTGTCTCTGAGCCTCTTTTGTGCTCAAGGCTAGCACTCTTCTTGAGCCACAGGGCTGCTTGCAGCTTTTTCTGAGTTGTTTACTGGAGATGAATCTCACAGATTTTCTGCCAGGGCTGGTTTCAAATCACAATCCTCAGATCTTAGTCTCCTTAGTAAGTAGGTTACAGGCATGAGCCACCGGCCCGTCTTGGAGCGGCCATCTGATGGGACCATGTGTGTCTGGCAGGGTTCTTCCCGGCAGAGGCTGCCAAGTGGCCCCAATGACTTCAACTCTGTGGCCGGGTGCTTCTTCTTTCCCCTCATTCAGCGCTTTGACCGGTGAGCGGGTTTTCTGGGGCCCTGAATGCAGTGTGCACACGGTGCTGCAGGGTAGAATCTGAGATGGGGTTTTGCACAGAAATGTGCTGTGAGCATGTCTGGAAGGGCCCTCTGCTGGGGAGCGTGTGGTGTGAGGGTATCTGGTCCTCGCTCTCTTCCTGTCTCGGGCTCAGGGTTCTGTTGTGTTAGCAGCGAGCCTGCCTGGCACTGCCCACTTCCTGCCACGCCTTCCATCTCCGAGTTGGGCTCCACTCCTTACTCAGGCTGAGAGCTGGGGTGACAGTAGGAGTTACACTCCTGACTCAGGGCCTGGCTTGTACTGCGTGGGTCAGGGTAGGCACTACAAGAGGGGGTGTCTCCTGCAGTAGCCCAGGAATTTAGGCAGCCAGCCCAGAAGTCCTGATGCTGCGTTTCCTCTCTTCTGTGTTGTAGGCCCCTGGTGACCTTTGACCTTTTGGGAGATGACCAGTTGGTTCTTGGAAGACTAATCCATACCTTAGGGGCCTTGATGTACCTGGCTGTGAACACCACGGTGAGCAGGCATGGGAGCAACCACCCGAGCCCCGGCCGCATGTCCGTCTCCCTGTCTCCATCCCTGGGCTGGACGGTGGTCAGGTCACGGGTGGGAAGCGCCGTGTACCCGAGTCCATGCCCACCTGCCCCTGCTCTGGTGTCAGGTGGCTGCATCCATGGGGAAAGCCCTGCTGGAGTTCGTGTGGGCCCTTCGCTTCCACGTGGACACGTGAGTGCCTGTGGGGGTGAGGGCGGCCCGGCACCTCCCACACAGGAAATGGGCTGAGCAGGGGCCAAGGGGGCTGGGCTGAGTGCGGGTACTGGGGGTATCGTCTGTCCGCTGCTTCCTCTTGACGCACTGCGCCTCCCCTTCTCTACCCCGTGCCTGCAGCTACGTGCGCCAGGGCTTGCTGTCGGCTGTGGCCTCCGTTCTCCTCAGTGTGCCGGCGGAGAGGCTGCTGGGAGACCTGCCGGAGGAGCTTCTGGAAGCCAGGTCCTGGCTGGCTGGTGCGTGTGCCGGGCGGTCACCAGGGGTCACTCGGGTGACTGCAGCAGCTGGGGGAACCGTAGAGGGTCTGGAAAAGGACTCTGCACATGGCTCTATCGCTGGCCTGGTCTGCGGCTCTCAGGGAGGAGGGGGATGGGTGGTGATGGACAGGGGAGGAGGGTGGTGGACGGGAACGGGGGTGGGGTGGCGCAGGGCATCTTAAAGCAACAGGGCAGTCCCTCAGGGCCACCTGTCTTGCTCCTCCCTCCTCCCTCGGCAGATGTGGCTGAGAAGGACGTGGATGAGGACTGCAGGAAGATGGCGGTGAGGGCTCTGCTGCTTTTGGAAAGACTCAAAGACTCACTCCTCCCTGCTTCCTCCCCCTAGTCCTGCAGTGTTCCGTCCCCTAGTAGGGGATGGATGGCCTCCGAGGAGGGCCTGAGGCAGTGGCTTGGAAGCGTGCCTGGCCTGGAGGGCCGTGCTGGGCAGCGTGCAGCGTGCAGCCCCTTCCCGGTCCTGCTGTCAGTCGAGGCGGCTTGTGTTCAGCTAACACAGGGCGGCTCTGCGGTCCCTGCCTCACTGATGGGCTGTGTGTGTGGGGCTCTGGGGCAGGGCAGCCCTTCTCCGAGGGGCAGGGTGGATGGGGTCTAGCTGGGTCCCCGGGAGGGCTCCACCATACTCCTTCAGGGTGTCGGGCAGCAAAGCAGTCGGGTTGGCCCTCTGGTCCCATAGCGCGGGGCTTCTCAGCACTAGGTCCCGGAAAATAAACAGGGTAGCGGGCAATACGCCATCTTCCTCTGTTGCTCACATGCCTCATGAGGGCAGCCACGATGGGAGACAGGAAGGGGCCCGGGCCTCTGGGAAAATACTTTATTGGAGTCATAGCCACTGAGCCGGGCCCAGAGGCAGAAGAGCATGGACATCAGAGCATGGGCCTGGGGCCCTGCCAGGGACTGTCTGTGCCAACGTGGGCAGTTAGCGGAAAGGGGCATTTACTAGCCTCAAGCAGCCACAAGGACACAAAGCTCTAGAAGCTAGACTCCACCATCTGTGGTTGGGGGAACATGGGAACGAGGAGTCCAAGTCTCCTGAAAGGAGCTAAATGGCATCCATAGGAGCCCCCAGGAGCCGGGCACGCAGAGGCGGCATGCACTCCATCCTCGAGGCCTGGACACGGGGCAGGCCCACAGCACACTGCCTCCCAGGCGTGGCCCTGCCCCTGCCACTACCCCGTTTATGTGCGGCTCGCACCGGGGAGCAGGGCCTCAGGGCTCACTCTCCACCTCCTCCACCACTTCCTCGTCCACCTCCTTGTGGTCCTCCATGCTGTTGTGGCGGATCCGCTCCGGCACGATGCGGGACAGCGGGAGGCCCAGGGCCTGGTGCACGGCGTCCACCGTGCGCTGGTCCACATAGTAGGACATATTGGCGGAAGGAAGTCTCTTCCGCATCTCCTCAAGGTACTTGTAGGCCTAGGGCAGAGATCATGAGTCACATGAAAGCCTAATGGTCATGAGGACCGGGGATTGTGGGAGCCCCCGTCCCCTTACAGTAAGGAGGTGTCCTAAATCCCAGCGCTCTGCCCTGGGGTAGGGACAGCCTCCCAGCTTCCCACTGTGTGGAGGCTGCTCAGCACTGGCAGGGGCCACTGGGTTCCTCGTGGCACGTGTCTTGAACTCTGGGCTGCTAACACTAAGCTGAGATGGGTATAAACAGCTGAGCCCCAGACCCGAGGCCTGCGGCAGCTTGGCACAAGCCTGCCACGGGGAAAGCAGACTATTCATCCACACTGAGACACCTGCTTGTTGGAGAGGAGGGCTTTGCTGGCCTGGAACTAAAGTCTCCTGCGTGGTGGGCCTTGAGTGTACACTAGAACACGACCTGCACAGATCACCAGAGATCAGTATAAAATGTGAGTGGCTTTGTGCCATTAAGCCATCAGCCCATATCCCTCGCTGTCTGTCTGTCAATGGAGAGCTGGTATGAACCTCCAGGAATGAAGATGCCTCCCTGGGCACTTAACGGTTGCCTGTGTGTGTCAGCACACTGCTGGGCACAGAACAAGCTTGGGCCCGGGAATGCCAAGGTGCAGAGGCTAGCGCCCGTGTGCCCTGAACACAACCAGGCCTGACAGGTGCGCCACCTCGGCTGGGAAGATGCCACGTCAGAGATAAAAGGACCAAGTGTGGGATGAGGAGTTGGGTGGCAGCAGCAGCCGAGTAGACACTGGAAGGAAAGCTGGTGAGCTTGGAAGGGGAGGAGCAGCAACTGCCCCGAGTGAGAACAGGAGCGGGGACGAAGGGAGACAGGTGCGGCTGCGAGGGGAGGTGGAGGAGGAACAGCACAGCACACTTGCTCACTGTGTGCAGGGGACAGTTACGTTCTACCAGACAGGGATGAATCTACAAGTGATGGGAAGTCTGCGTGGAAGAGGGCTGCGGTGGACAGCGCGACCGCACAAGCTGGTGCAAGGGGGAGCGGCGCGGTGGGCAGCTGCCGTGGTCTCGGGTGACTGCGGGAGCCTGTCACCTCCAGGACAGCGGAATGGACAGGCTGCCAACAGTGACTCTGAGCTACGGGACACCACGCTGCGGGGAGCCGGCCAAAGCAGCATGCTCTGGGGAAGCAGGGGCCTCACCATCTGGTGCTCCTGCCTGTGCACGTGGTGCTCCACCAGGAAGCCGTAGACATCGCCGATGCGGATAGTGCTGTCCAGGTCTGGCTCCTCCAGGAGCAGCTCACACTGCCTCACCGACTCCTTGGGGTCCTCTGTGTAGTTCCTGCCAGCAGACCAGAGAGGCCTGAGCTGGGGCACACACAGCCAGAGGCCGGCCGGCTCCTGTCCTACAGAAGCAGCCCCGGGCAGTGGCCAGTGACTGACAGGTTCTGGAGTTGTTACTCCAGTAATTCCTTATCTATTGGTTGATTCACTCATTCAACAAATACTGGTGGGGCTGGGAGGTTGGCTCAGTGGTAGAGTGCCCCGCATGCATGAGGCCCTGGGTTTGATTCTTCAGTACCACATAAGCAGAAAAAAGCCGGAAGTGGCGCTGTGGCTCAAGTGGTAGAGCGCTAGCCTTGAGCTGAAGAGCTGAGGGACAGCGCCCAGGCCCAGAGTTCAGCCTCCACGAATGACGACAACAACCCCCTACCCCAAAAGAAAAAAAACACCCAAAAACCAAAAAAATACTGATGGCAGAGCCAAGTCCTTGTCCCAAGCCAAAGTCTGCTAACCTAGTTCCTGTCCCAGGGCACATTCCAGAAGAAGCCCACAGAGGGATGTGTGCCATCCCCAAGGCAGTTTGGAGGAGCAGAGCACAGGTCAGCCCATGTGCCAGGTGCAGGGGCTTCAGGGCAGGGCGTAGCTGCGCGGGCACTACTGCAGGCCCTGGCTCTGTCGTCTTGGCAGACAGTGACCCGTCCAGAGTGGACAATGAGCCGCGACAGGGTCAGGGCCCCTTAGCCATGCCAACCTGGCCACTACAGCCCGGAGCCCTGCCTGCCTTAGCGCTGAGCGCTGCAGGGCTGTCTCCCCGGCCCCACATTCTTCCCCTTGTCCAGCGCCCTGTTCTTGGTTAATGAGTCCAGGCTGGGTAGAAGACAGTCTTCCTGAAGCCCACTGTGTCCACTGCAGTCCACAGCCTTCCCGGAGCCCACTGCTGTGTCTGCTGCATCCACAGCTGCAGGATTTTTTTTTTTTTTTTTTTGGGTCAGGTCGTGGGGCCTGAACTCTGGGCCTGGGTGCTGTCCCTCAGCTCTTCAGCTCAAGGCTAGCGCTCCACCACTTGAGCCACAGAACCACTTCCGGCTTTTTTCTTTTTGCTTATGTGGTGCTAAGGAATCGAACCCAGGGCCTCAGGCATGCAAGGCAAGCGCTCTACCACTGAGCCACCTTCCCAGCCCCCAGCTACAGGATTTGAGGGAACTCGTTGGGAACTCTATTTTCAGATAAGTAAAAAACAACTGATCATTTCAGCAGAAGCTGTTTTGCTCCTTATAGCGCCGACACAGGAGCTGCTTTGAAAAACTGAATTATCCAGCAATAGATTAAAAAGTCCTGAAAAACAGAGGCAAGCCAGGTGGAGCTGAGTTGTGTGAGATCGGCTAAGACTGCTGCCCGCACCACACCTGCCCCTCATTCGATGCCCCACTTAACCCCAACACCCCGCCAGGTTCCCTTCAACACTGCGCCCCCGCATCCCCTTCCCCTCCACACCAGCCTCCCTCCCGCTGGCTCTGATGGTCAAACAATCAGGCTGGTGCCTTGGTTTTGAAGCAGTTGTTGGGTGCGGCTCAGCTGTATCCCCCGAATTCCTATCTAGTCCAAGGAGCTGGGAGCAGATACTTGGTCTGGTCTTGCAGACAACCTGAACTCCCCTAGAGTTGCGGACAATGAATGAGGTGCAAACGGAGCCTAGGGGGACAAGCCAGGCTCCAGGCCGCCCTGCGCCAGGCCTCTGGGGCGCCCACCTGCGGGCCTGGATGAACCTCTTCACCAGCGTCATCTTGCTCTGCAGCTGGGCCAGCTTGGTCTCCTGGTCCAGCGGGCTCTTGGCTTTGGCCTTGGACAGGCACTTGTAGGCCTCGGTCAGTGCGCCATGGGCCTTGTCATAGTTCTGATATTCGTCGATCTCCACCTGTGCCCAAGAGGAGCCCCCATCAGGACTGGGGCTCCACCATCCTCCCCAACCCCCTCCCCCCCAGAACCCCAAAGAGCGTCTGTACCTGGGCACAGGCGTCATAGAAGCCGGCCAGGAGGTCCAGGGCTCGGCCTTTGGTGTAGAAGCTGATGATGTTCTTCATGATCTCTGGCTCCTTCCGCCAGTCCAAGGACTGCAGGTAATTGGCAGCCATGATGTAGATTTCCTTCTGCCTGGAGACACCCGCAAAGAACACGATCTTCTCTGTGTCCCCAGACTTGAGCAGCGCTCTCATGGCCTAGGAAGACAATGGGCGAGGGCTTGGGCGGGCAGCCAGGGGCGAGCTGCCGGGCCCGGCTCCAGAAAGGCTGGACGCAGGGCACTGCACGACACATCCACGCGGATGCCCGGCTCCACGGGGCAGCGGGCGGCCCACCTTCAGCTTGTTCCCGGCCTGCGTGTACTTCTTGGTGGCCAGGTGGTAGTGGCCCTGGCGCATGCAGCAGTTGGCAATCTGTTCTAGCAGCTCTCGCCGCGACTCCTCGGTCAGCTCCTTTGAGTCTTTGGACACAGTCATCTTCTCAGCCATCTCCTCAGTGATGGTCATATTCTGGTCCACGCACAGCTGCAGGGCCTCCTGATACTGAGAGGGGCAGGGAAGCAGAGATGCTGAGGGCCGAGGGCTGGTGTGCCTGCACATCCACCCGTCCCTTCCCCCAGAGGAAGCCAGGGCCACGGCGGCCGCTGTCCGTGGCTGGGCCGCAGGTGGAGGGATGGGATGTTCCCCGCATGCCAGCCCACTGTATTAGACACAGCCACAGGCCCATCCCTTCCTTCCTTCCTTTTTTTGTCAGTCGTGGGGCTTGAACTCTGGGTCTGGGCGCTGTCCCTCAGCTCTTCAGCTCAAGGCGAGTGATCTACCACTTGAGCCACAGCGCCACTTCTGGCTTTCTGGTGGTTTATTGGAGAAGAGTGTCAGACTTTCCTGCCTAAGCTGGCTTTCAACCATGATCCTCAGATCTCAGCCTCCTGAGTAGTTAGGTTTACAGCAGTGAGCCAGGTTTATGCCTATAATCCTAGCTACGCAGGAGGCTGAGATCTGAGGATCATGGTTCAAAGCCAGCCCAGGCAGGAAAGTCCGAGAGACTCTTATCTCCAATAAACCACCAGAAAACCAGAAGTGGCGCTGTGGCTCAAGTGGTAGAGCGCTAACCTTGAGCTGAAGAGCTGAGGGGCAGCGCCCAGTCTTGCAGGTCACCCGTGTGGGTGGTGTGCTCTGCCTGTGGTTGGTCATCTGAGTGACCAGGTGTATGTTTTTCCTGCTGTGCTTGTCCGTGGAGGCCTGCTGGCTGGTGGGAGATGAGCTCTCCGCTTATGCTGGGTGCAGCCTGCTGTCCTGCCCTGGGCCTGAGCACATGTGCTCTGTATCTCTTATTACAAACAGACTAAGCATTCCACATTCAGAGACCAAGCATGATCCTCCTGCCTTAGCCTCCCCAGTGCTGGGGTTACAGGCGTGTGCCACCAGTGCAGCCTCTCACCACCCCTGCCCTAGCCACCTCTCCCCCTGGACTTGAACCTTCTTGGCAGCCAATAGCAGGTCCACAGCCTTCTCAAACTGCTTGTGCTCGATGCAGAAGTCGGAGCATCGGGCCAGGAGTGCGGGGTCCGACTTCTCATCCAGGTCCTCTGCTATGAGCTGCAGAGCTGCAAACTGCTGGGTGGCGAAGGCCAGCTCCAGGGCCTTGGAGAAGTGGCCAGCCTGTGGACAGTCGTGGACTCTGAGCAGCTGCTCAGGCTGCAGGAACGTGCCTCACGTCCTCCCGGGGTCACCAATGGTGCTGCCTGCCGGTCCCTGGGTGGGGCCGGGCCTCACCTTGTGGTAAAGCATGACAGCCCTGTCCATCTGCTCGCCCTTCTCCTCGTAGTACCTCGCGGCCTCGATCATGTCCTCTGGGGAGCTCAGCAGGGCCAAGTTCATGAGCTGGTCATCCAAGTTGTTCTCCTGCGGGGAGGGGAGGCAGGACTCCATGGGCTGTACCTACCCCACACAGCTAAGGCTGCAATCTGGGAGTCTGGCCGGGTGGGTAAGTCTCCTTCAGCCTGGTGTCTGCAGGTCATGTCTGGCACTGCCTTTTCTTTTTTTTCTGTTCCTGTATTAGGCTTTGAACTCAGGGTCTCACTCTCGCTCAGGCTCAGCTTTTTCACTCACAGCTGGCACTCTACAACTTGAGCCACACCTCCAGTGTGCTGTGCTGCTTAACGGGGGGAAGACTCCCGGGGCTGGCTTCGGATGACACCTTGGTCTCACTAGGTGTTTGTGTATTTTGTTCTATTTTATGAGGCACTGCAAGAAATACCCAATGCAGGAGAAAATTCCAGAAATGAGATCTGGATTGGGACTACTTATCAATGTCCAACAGCTGACATCTGGCTCAGGAGCCCCGGATTTAGAACACCCAGACATAATTCAGGGTTCTCTGCACACACAAGGTCAGATGGAGGGTGCTAGAATGGGAAGAGGGCGGGGAGCATGAAGAGCAGTGAGGGAAAGACGGAGGGCGGGGGTCAGGGAGGAGGGGAGGGGCGAGGGTCCGGGCACAGCCTCAGTGCTGGTGTCGAGGCCCGTACCTTGCACAGGCGGATGGCGTTGTTGAAGGCCTGTGCGCGTGCGTAGAAGTACACAGCCTGCCTCACGTCCTCCTGGCTCTCGTACTGCCTGGCCAGGTGATAGGACGCAGCCCAGTTTCCAGTCTCGTTGGCTATTTCTGCAGCCTAGAAAGACCCAAAGCGGCCCGAGGCCTCGTCTCGGCCCGGCAACCCCATTCCACCTGATGAGATGCGTCTTTTTTTTTTTTTAAATTAAATGTATGTTTTGGCCACATCAGGGGTTGAACCCAGGGCCTCAAGTAAAAGCTGGCGCGCTAGGCTGCCTGCAGGCTGTGTCCAGCCGGGCTGCCGGCTCGGCGCTCACCTTCTGAATGTTGCCCTGGAAGCAGTGAATGCGGACCAGGGAGAAGTAGTCCTGGGCCAGCTCGTAGTAGTGCAGCGCTGAGTTCATCTCCGCCTGGCTCTCCAGGTACTGGGCCCACCACCTCCACAGCGTCCTGCAGAACGGCACACAGCCGCGGGCGCACAATCAGTGAGCCTGGGAGAGGCTGGAGACCCAAGAACACTCCCCACGTCCACCTGGGAAAGGACATGCAATGACCCCCCCAAAAAACACCCCAAGAGACACCAGCAAGCCTCGCTAATGGGCAGGGTGGCCTGCGGACACTCACCTGTCCTTCATCTTGTTGATGTAGAGCTCCAGGGACTGCAGGTCCTCAGCCAGCATCCTGGGCACCTCGAAGCGGTGCGTGTCCGACTTCTCGTAGCTGTGGAGGGAGGGGATGAGAGGACCTCATTTCCTCCTGTCTCAGCCTCCTCACCAGAACAGGTGAGGGCGGCCTTCTGTGGGGAGTGGCGCCCCGCCTACAGCCTGTGCTCTTGCGGGGACAAGAGTGTCCTGTGCTGTGGGCTCAGGAGGCTTGTCACATTTCCTCACACCGATTCCAGAGTGGGGGGACAGGTCCGTGGCTGTGTCCGGGGGGAGCGGGGAAGGGGCACATTGGATCTGTATCGGGCAGTGACAGGGCAGTGGTCAGGCTTTCTGAACTCGCCATGACCGCAGAAGCCTCCTTGGAGAACTGCCCGGGCCCTGCGCACAGGCGATGCCAGCCAGGGCTCATCGCACGGCCTGCGTGGCCTCGGTGCCCGCCGGGTACTCACTAGCTGAGGGCCAGGCCGCAGTGGGCGCTGGCCTCCAGGTGCCTGGCGTAGTTGTAGTAGGTGGTGCGCAGGTGGATGCGGTCGTGGAGCTCGGCCACCTCCACCGCCTTCTGCCACTGGTCTGAGGCCTGGTAGAACTTGTTGAGGAGGTCGTAGCGCTGGCAGCGCTTGTACAGCTGCTCAGCATCTTCCTGGGAGTGGAGAAGATCGAGCACGGGGCTGACCCAGACAGGCCCCCCCACTGCTTCAGCCGGTTCCCCTGTGCAGGGAGCGGCCCAGCCCCCGGGGCAGATGCACAGCAGGCACTGGCGTCCGATAACCCTGGGTGTCTGAGATGCCTCACAGAGAACGGCCTCACACTCCCGCATGCTGTTCTATGGCCGGCTGGAGAGGGACCTGGTCCAGCCAGCCAGCCTCGCGTGGAACAGCGCCGTGTTCAGCAGCCCCCTCCTCAGAGCTGCCCCACGCTCATAAGTGCAGCCCGCTGCTCAAGGCTGCACCGTACCCTCGGCCTCAATCTGATGGCACGAGTTAGCTTTTTTTGGGCCCCTCTGGGAGAGCAGATCTGCGGTGAACTCTGAGAGGGCGTAGAAGGTGCCGGAGTCCGACATGCACCCTCTGCACGTCCTCCCCAGGCCTGGGCCCCACAAGAGCTGACAGCGCCTGCCTTCCCATCAGCCTCCCCGGGGGGCAGCACCACTCACCAGCATGCCCAGCTGAACGGCCAGCATGGCCACTCTGGCCTCCAGCTCGGGCTCAGACTCGGCCTCCCGCAGCGCCCGTGCCCCGCGGGCATGGCCCATGTTCCCCAGGCACACCTTGGCCACGTCCAGACGCTGGGTTTTGACACACATGCGTGCCATGTTCTCCCAGACGGCTTCGCTGCGGACAGAGAGGAGCCTGGTCAGCTACCAGTCCCAACCACTCGCCAGGGGACTGGCCCACGCACAAGTCCCACCTCCCAGAAGGAAGGAGGGGGAAGCACCCCCCCCCCCCCCCAAGCCACACGTCTCTCATGAACTCCTGGGGAAAGGCAGGGGAATGTGTGCCTGTGAGGCCATTTCCTCCACACCACATGAGGTTCTTCTGTTTTTGGGGCAGGTATTGTGCGGAACTGCAGACCCAGCCATAGTGTTGTGCTGGTTATTTTTGAGACGGGCTGAGATGGAGGTCCCCCGGCCTTTCTGCCCAGGCTGGCTGGGAACAGTGATCATTCTTGTGGTTTTGGATATTTTTTGAATTCAAGGTGTCTCGGTTGCTAGGCTGGCACTCTGCCACTGAGCCACATCCCAGCCTTCTTCGCCACAGTCATTTTTCAGATAGGGTCTCATGTTGCTGCCAGTCTTTTGGACAGTGATGATCTTATCTGAGGCCTTCTACAAAGCAGGGATCATAGATGCGACCACTGCGAGAGAATGGCTGACCTTCCCGATTGCAGGCAGGAGCCATCAAGACTTACTACTATAGCATTGCTACAGAACAGATCCTGGGAGTGGCCTTGGGGCCTGGCAGATGCAGGCAGGAGTGTCTGATGGAGACTCCCTCCCAGGCCCTCCTACCGCATTCCAGCCACTCTCTAGATATGACAGGCGGGTGCAGCCCCCCTCCCTGGAGGTGGAGCAGGCCTGTTACACCCCCGTCTCGCAGACCTGGCTGCACTTTGGGACGTGGGAGGGCAGAGGCCCACGAGAAGCGGCCACTGTCCTGGTGAGTGAGGGGCTTGGGGCTCCAGGGTACTGGTGCCCCAGCAGAGGACTGGGAGGGCGGTCCTCTGGAGAAGGTAAGTAGTCAGGTCGTGTCCCATTGCGATCGTGCGTCTCCATGGTGGAGGAAGACCTGCATCTCAGGGTCCCCAGTGTGGACAGAACTAGAGCAAGAGCTGCTGAGGCAGGGGCGCCGTGGAGGCCACTTCCAGGCTCTGTCCAGGGAGGCTATGGCTGTGGGGGCCGGGACTGAAGCCACACTTCCAGGTGGCCTTTCTTGCATGCTGACAGTCAGATCTGCTTGGGTCCTGTCATGACTGGTTTAGCAGATGCATGTCTTGGGGTGTAGGGAGGGCAGGCAAGACACATGCGTTTCAGCAGGACACCCCTGGAGTACGAGGGAAGGCTGGACCAGAGGCTGCACGTATGCCTGTGGCACTGGGCTGGGAACCGGGTAGACACATCGACCTAAACCCCAGGCGGGACCAGCCTGCCGGGGGTCGGGGAGAGACGTCCACCCCCTTCCCCTGGGGCTCCTCCTTTGTTGGCCTCTCCTGGGGCTTCTCACCGGCAGGCCCACAATTCCTAGGATACACAAGAGAACTGCTGTGGTGAAGGTGGCCCCCGGCGGGCGGGGCGGGGCCTCCGGGAGGTGCCTATCACCGTCCCCCAGGAAGCAGGCCGCATCCTCTGGCTTTGGAATCCAAATGGGTCACGGCGGCTACGAGGCAGCAGCGGCTAGCTGTGGCAGGGCTGCGGCCCGGCGCCTCCCTGCCTGCCACCGCTGGATGGCCCGTGGCACAGGCTGTTCTGCCCCCTCTGTCAGGACTGCCAGGCAAGAAAGCACTGTCTCAGCACACAAACTCACAGCTGCTCCTCTGCCCGGAGGGACTGGTTAAATGAGAAAGGGCCATGCGTGTAAAACTAGGTGTCCTTAAAGGGACAAGACAAAGGCAGCCTCTCCTGGAGGGCTCCCAGGCCGCCGCCATCTGTACACAACCCAGCTGTGTGTGCAAGGGCCGGTGTGAGCGTGCTCGGTGGCGTCAGTGTGCCCGATGGCACTTCTGCGATGGTCCTCGTGCGGCCCAGCGCCGGTGCCTTCCTCGGCTGGCTGCAAGAGAGGTGTCAGAGGCCCCGGTGGCGAGTCCCTCACGCTCTAAGCGACTTCACAGGACAGAACTCTCTCCCGAGGCCTGGGGGCCAGGCTGGGTGGCGCGGGCCTCTTGGCCTCTTTGTGCTAGAGTAGCTTCCTTTCTTCTGGCTGGTCTTGAGAGCGAATGGAAGCTTGCGTCTGTGTCCAGTGATGGTAAGTGCAGGACTTCCCTGGGGGCAGAGGCAGCTGGCATGTGACCTGAGGCTCCCTGGCAGTGCTCTTGCCAGGGTGGTTAGACTTAACTCAGTGTCCCTGTGCTTCTCTGGCCCTGGGTGTGACAAAGCCCGTCCATGTTGTTGAAACGCCGGGTCATTTCCATGTGGTCTTCTGCGTGAACACAGCTCTCGTCAGTGGTCAGGGGGGCTCTGGAAGTACAGCCCAGCCAGGCCCAGTGCTGAGAGGGTTTGTTTGGAAGGCCAGGGCTAAGGGCACTGCATAAGCCATGGGAAAGCAGGCTCCCCGCCCCCCGCCAACTCCAGAGCTGCCAGAATAGCCTGGACCCAGGGGAGTGGCCGCCTGCCGCCCGCACAGCGTGCTCTGCAGCGGCCTTCCAGCCCAAGTCGGCCTCAACCCCCACGCCATTCTCAGCATTCCACGCACAGCTTGCCAAGCCTGGGCTAGCTCGAACTCCAGCCTGGAGTTCTGGACTGTGCATATGACATAAGTTCCAAGAAGTGAACACCCTCCGAGTCCCGTCCAAGTCTTGAGAGTTTCCTGTTGTCCAAGTGTCTGCGAGGAGTGACCACATCTGTCCTTCATCAGCCCTGGGCGCCTGAAATCAGAAGCAGATGTGGTCGTGGGGTGGGGAGGCGGCCCTGAGCTGGGACTGGGCTTTCTGCAGAAGTCCTCCGTCAGGACAGTGGGCAGCTAGGGGACCTGCAGCTGCCCAGCCATGCTGCTCTGTGTGTCTGGGTGCAGGGGAGGCAGCTGCACGGCCGGGGGCTGCAGTCAGACTGGAATGCAAGGCACCGCCAAAGACAGCAGACAGCAGGCAGAACAGGAAGGAGCTGCCATGGAGGCCGGGGTGGGAGGGGTGGGGGGAAGGCCCTGGCCTCCCCAGGAGTCACACAAGAACCCTGGATCCTGAGAAGTTTCATCCCAGGAAGGGCCATCATCCTCCCGATTCTCTTCTAGTGCAAGCTTCAGGGTACACTGTGATTCCAAAGCCATCTGGCACACGATGCGCGTGGGAACACTGACTGTTGGAGACGATGAACCCCGAATCTTCCTGGGGAGGGGGTGGTGGGGAACAGTGGCTATCCTGCCAAGGGTGGTGGATGTGGGCGTGGGTCTCTTCTTCTTCCATTTCCTTTTGTGCCGCACCCAGGCTTGAGCTCAGAGGTCCCATTTTTTGGTTTCTTGCTTTTTTGCTCATGACTGGCACTCTATCCCTTGAGACATGCCTCCAGTCTGGCATTTTGCTGGTTAATTGCAGTTGGGAGTCTTAAAGCCTTCGCTTCTTGGAATGGCTTGAAGCCTGATCCTCCAGGTCTCGGCTTCCTGGCTAGCTGGGATTAGAGGTGATGCCCGACACCCAGGGTCTTTGGTGTGAGCAAGGACGCATGGCACCCCATCCCCTGCATGACGTACGAGGCTCACGGTGCTGAAAACCCGCCACACAGTGGCTGCACAGAGGCTAATAACCAAGATCCAAGAATGGAGAGCAGAAAGAAGTCTATTTGGGTAAAACCTCCAGTGGGGAAAACCCTAAAATAGGTAAAATCCCTTAGGGAAATGAGGAATAAACCCTTGGCCAAAAGTGGTCAGTGCTGACTTCACCCGCAGCCATGTGACTGGAGGCGCCAATCCCGGGGAGTGGGGGGCTTCGGGGCAGCACGCTGGCCAGGCCAGGGCACATACATGGCCATAGGAAATGCCTGAAGCCTGTGATCTAACGGCCCAGGAACTAGCTGACAACAGAACTTTTTGTTCCCCGAATGACTGAGCGCCTACCTAGCAAGTGAGGGGCCCTGAGTTCCATCCCCAGTGCCATCTAAAATAAACAAAAAAGCTCTGCCTGAATAACACCCCAAGAGCGTGCACCCAAGGCTATGTGGACAGAACACAGCAACTGCAGGGTACTGCAGGCGCCCAGGTGCGGGGAACCTGTGGGTGGCCCGGTGCCTGGCCCCTTAGGCTCCAGGCCCAGCACGGGAGCCACTTCTGCAGCTGGCCAGGCTCAGGAGTGACAAGTGAGGGACGAGTACGAGAGCTGGTATCCCCAGCCTCTCCTCTGGGACAGCAAGCAGGCGGGCGGGCGGGCAGCAGGGAGGGCGGGCTGGAGGGGGGCCCCACAAGTCTCCCAGGCCTTTCCCATCAGGAAACGCATCCTGTTAGTGTCTGGCTCTGCGCAGGGCTGCTATTTGTTGCAGCCAGTTGGTGACGCCCTCCTGCTCACCAAAAACAGCTTCAAAAACAATCATTTCCTCTCTGCTGAGCGACAGGGAAAGGCAGGCCCGTGTGCACACGCGCACACACACACTTTCCTGCAGCAGCCGCTCTGCGTTCCAGGACCTGCCACTCGTGGCGGGGGCACCAGGCAGGGGCCTGGACAGCAGAGAGGCAGCTGAACCCACACCACTCCCCGAGTTCCGCTTGGAGTGGCTCCCACAGCCCGCTGTGCAGCGTGAGCCAGCCGATTCCCACGCTGGGCCTCCCTCTTGAGTAACTTTGTTTTCCGCTGCTACAGGACAGAGAGGGGCCTCGGCCTCGGCCTCCCGGTCCTCCGCTTCCTGGGAAGACGGCACACTCACAACTCTGGATTCACGCTCCTGTCCCCGTTTTCTTCCTGGGATGGGCCTCTTGGTGCCCAGCTTCAGCACAGGCCTGGCCCTCCTCCAGGTGCAGGAGGGAGGGTAAGGCAGGGCCGTGAGCGGCTCCCCTGGACCTGTCCCATGGGCCTCTCTCCACCGCTGCGACGTGGGTGCGCCCAGCTGGAGCTGCTGCTCGGCCTCCGAGAATGAGCGGCGATGTTCTCTAGCTTGCCCTAGCAGCATCAGCGCTCCCTGTGTGCCCCGCGGCTGACTGGGACTAGGGATTTTCTCCGAGACAAACGGACCACACCGGCAATCTGCGATGACTGTCCAGAAACTTGTGGCCACAGCTGTGCTGGTGGCCCTGGTCTCCCTCATCCTCAACAACGCTGCTGCCTTTACTCCCAACTGGGTGTGCCAGACCCTGGAGGATGGGCGCAAGCGGAGCGTGGGGCTGTGGAGATCCTGCTGGCTGGTGGACAGGGGCCGGGGAGGAGCGAGCCCCGGGGCCAGAGCTGAGCACGTGGACGCGCAGGACTGTGAGGCGCTGGGCTGGGGCTCGGAGTCGGCAGGCTTCCAGGAGTCTCGAGGCACCGTCAAACGTGAGTCTGCCTGCTTTCCTGTCCTCTTCAGAGGGGCTGCATCCAGGGATGGGGCGGGGGGGGGGGGGCAGGTCCCGCCCCACCCCCACTGGTGGGCAAGGCCGCATGGTCATCCCTTGTTTTGTAGGGAATTTGTCGCACGCCCCCGGGGCTTCCTTTCTACCACACTGCGTGGTATAATAATCACATTGAGGAAGACGGTTTTCCTTGGTTGAAAATAGATATGATGAGTACAATAAACTAGAAGCTCGAGACTGTGTGGGCGAGTTCTAAGTTCATTTCCATGGTGGTCAGGGCCTTGGGACTGTGAACAGCAGGGTGGTGGGAGAGTGGAGGTGGCGGGGGGGGGGGGGGGGGAGGCGTGTTCGGGCTTGAGGGGAAGGAGGAGACAGAGGCATAAATAGCAAACAGGCAGCCATGCATGCATCTGCCGATGACTACTGCGGAACACCACGGAACCTTGAGGGTAGAAGGCTCCTGCCGGGAAGGGGCAACACCGGCCTTGGAGAGATGAGACTTAGTTGGCTGAGGGCAAGTTCCTCGGTCCTAAGCACCACTCTGCATGGCTGCTGGTTCTTGGCCCGGTCCCCGGACCACAGCACACACAGAGCCTGGGTTGGGGCAACGCCATCCTCACGTCACAGGCAGAGAAACTGAGGCTGGCACCGGCCCTGTCTTCTCTCCTGGTGGGGTCTGATCCCTCCATTCAGGATGACACCCACTTGCCACTCTTGCTGGTAGAGGCTGTTCTACCCGCAGAGCCGGCAATGCGTGGGCCTGTGCACCCATGCCCTGGTCTGCCAGACCACCTGCCGCCTGCCTCGCCTTTAGCCAAGCCTGTCCTTGAGACATTCGTGGTCCAAGCCGGTTCACAACTCAGCCCTCCTGGGGGCCAGCTGGACAAACACCTCTCACACCCGAGCTGGCAGTCTCTACAAACCCCTCAGCACTGTCTGTGGCTGCAGACAAGGCTATCTTGAGAACCAGCACAGGACGTGGGGGGGGGGGGGGTAGGAGAAAGGGGGAAGGACAGGTAACAGGGCCATGCCGTCAAGCACTGCCACCGGCACCTGGTAGAGACGACATCTCATGCCAGTGCAGGCTCACCATCATGGAGTGCATGTCACTGGCAAACACCCAAGAGGCCTGCCCAAGGGACCAGGGACACGTGGGCTACTCTATGACATTCCAAGCCGGCCAGGGCCCTCTGTGCTGCCGGGTGTCCCAGGCATGCTGGATTGGGGCTGGGAGGGCCAGTCCTAGCCCTGTCCTGTCCAGGCCCCTGTCGCACTGGGTCTTTGCTGAGGGGATCATGGGGGATTCTCCTGCCAGCTGATGATTCCGCCCCCCGTTGTGCCCCTGGTCTTCCAGCACCTCAAGTCCTTTTCTGAACACGAGTCCTTGGCTGTCCACGAGCAATGACTGAAGCTTGATGAGGCGCAGCTGGGCTCCGGGCGCCCCTGGCGCCGCCAAGGGTCTGCACACGGCCTGTCCACGTTCTCATGGGGGTGTCTAGGGCTGCACACAAGGCGGCACCACTGGTGAAATGCCAACACGGCGAGCCACTGGGTGCGGGGCTGCAGGCCTGGGGTTGGCGGCTCAGCAGCGACCCACAGGGATCCAACCCAGGCAGAGGCCTGCGTGGCAGCCTTGCAGAGACTTGCCTGGCACACAGCAGAGTGCTGTGCACTCAGGGCCGCCGCTGCCGCCGGGGACACAAGAGTCAGCCCAGGCAGAGGACAAGAGGGAGGACGGTGCAGGGCAGGACAGGACAGGCCGGCAGTCAGGTCTGTGCTCCGTTTTCTGGTCTCACTGCACTGACACGCATGTCCTGAGCCACGCCACTCAGGCTGCCCCTGAAACCACAGGTCCCAGCCCCGCCGCTGTGCAGGGTAAAGGTCTGGGGGCCCCAGGTCTGGCAAGCCCCTGTGCGGTGATCTGCCCAGGCCACAGGCTGCGGTGCCATGGTCAAAGAACATTTCTCCTGCCCCTGACCTTTCCATCCCCCCCCCCCCATCTCTGCTCCTCTACGTCCTTCCAGACTGTACTGTACCTGAACTATGGAGGACAGATCTAGACTGGGATCTGCATTTAATTCATTTAGTCCTGGTCTTGGGGGTTTGAACTTGAGGCCTGGGTGTTGTCCTTGAGCTTTGTTGCTCAAGTCTAGCGCTCTACCACTTGAGCCACAGCTCTACTTCTGGGTTTTTTGGTGGTAAACTGAAGATAAGAGTCTCAATGAATTTTCCTGTCCAGGCTGGCTTTGAACCACAACCCTTACATCTTAGCCTCCTGAGGAGCAAGGATTATAGGTGTGAGCCATCAGTGCCCAGGTCTATGTAGCTCTTTATATATGCAGCCTGTTCAAGAGACCTGCTAGCCTAAGAACTGTTTGAACCATCCACAGGGTGGAGCAGACATGTTGGGAGAGCCTGGGATCTGGGACAGGAGGCTTTGCTGTGGAGGAAGCAACTCAAAACACAACAGGCACGACAGGCCGGGCCCTGGCGCGGGAAGTGGCCTAAAACCCCTGGAAGACTCAAGACTCCAAAGCCTAGATATAGACAGGACCCACGAAGAGTGCTTGCGGACGGGTGGGTTGTACCGGGCCTCGGGCAGGGGACGGTGGCCCCACGGGCTCTGTGGGTTCATCCCACATTCTTGCCCCTCTGGGATGGGGTAAAATGCCACTTTTCATCCATGGTCTCTCAATGACCCCCGCCCCCAACCTGTGGGAAGGTGATTCCGGGGCACACTGAACCCCCAAGAGCAGAGCCCTGGGCCAGAGACCTCTGAGGCCCGTGGGCTCACAGCCCACCAACGGGGTCCCCAAAAGAGACAGGAGGAGGGGGGCACAGAGGGCAGGGCACTGGCAATGGCAGCAGTGGAGGAGCAGGGAACCATGCTCTGACTGTTCCGTGACTATGAGCATCCACAAAAGCGGATGGTGAACCATATGGGGCTGCATGCCGCCTCAGCCATTTCACAGCCCCACCCTCCCTGTCCCGGCACCCGCTCCCCTCCCTGCCTCCCACGGCAGGTCTGAGCAGTGGGCTGAGGAACTGCGAGTCTCTGGAAATGGGGCCTTGTAGGCCCCCCTCACTCACACACAGATCACCTCCCAGTGGGCACCGTGGCAGGCTGCGTTTCTCGATTATGGAGGCTGACAGTTCAGCCTGTGAGACTCAACATCAGCTCAGAGTGACGTGCAGCAGGGGAGCAGAGGCACACCGGGGCGACCCTGGCCCCCCAAAGTGCAGCACAGGCTTTGCTGGGAGGTGGAACTGGAGGGAGTTTCTCTGCCAGACACAATCTCCTCCCCCGTGGCTCGGCCACTTTTGCTATCCACCCTGACCACTCTCCTGAGACCCCGGTGTGCTGCACCCCGTGGAGGAGGCAGGCACGGGCAGAATCCAGACACGGGGTCCCATGGTGTGCAGAGTGACCAGAGCCTGGGCTCAGCACAACAGGTCTGCCCTGCTCTGCCCTGGCTGGCTGTTGGAGGCTGAGACCAGTCCCTCAGTGCCACCCCGCAGGCCCAAGTCTCTCAACCACAGGCAGGGGCCCTTGGGGGGTCCCCGGGGCAGGGAACACAGCGCTGTTGGTATGCATCTCCCTGATTACAGCTGCCATGCAGCACCTCTGGGGAACGCTGGGCCCAGCCCGGGGGAGACGTGGCCACTGCAGCCAAACGGGCTGGGATAACTTTAGTGGCCGGGAAGAGGTATGGGGCAAGGCAGGTGAGCAAGAGGCTTCCAGAAGGTTCTGCCCTAAGAAGACACTGGCTGTGCCTACTGCCTTTTCAAGGATGCCTCTGGGGGCTGGGAAGGTGGCTCAGTGGTAGAGCGCTTGCCTTGCATGCATGAGGCCCTGAGTTCGTTTCCTCAGCACCACATAAGCAAAAAAAAAAAAAGCCCGAAGTGGCGCTGTGGCTCAAGTGGTAGAGCGCTAGCCTTGAGCTGAAGAGCTGAGGGACAGCGCCCAGGCCCAGAGTTCAAGTCCCACAACCGGACCCAAACAAGGATGCCTCTGGTGGGGCCCCTGAGCACGTTGGCTCTCCTGATCCCCGCTTTCCCTCCTTGCCTGCAGTGCAGTTCGACATGATGCGCGCATGCAACCTGGTGGCGACGGCAGCCCTCGCGGTGGGCCAGCTCACCTTTGTCCTGGGGCTGACGGGCCTGCCCATGATGTCACCAGAGTCCCAGTGCTGGGAGGAAGCCATGGCCGCTGCATTCCAGCTGGCAAGTAAGTACCCCAGGCAGGGAGGATGGCTGGGCCACGGCCCGCGAGGCCACACACCTGCTAGAACCTGCTATTGCAGGAGGAACTCTACAACCCAAGTGGCATGGGGTGGTTTCAGGTTGCAGCTCTAAGTGTGGCCACAGGCAGCATCGTAGGTCACTACTATGGATAAAAGCAGGGCAGAAACACGTGCCTAGGGCTGAGCACACAACTTGCCCCCCTCCATCAGTCACGGCCTTTCCATTTAATTCATTATTTCTTGGTGTTGTCTGGGGTTAGAACTCTGGGTCTGAGCCCTGTTCTTGAGCTTTTGTGCTTAAGGGTAGCACTGTATTACTTCATCCACAGCTCCACTTTCAGCTTTTCGGTCATTAACTGTTCGGTCATTAACTGGAGATAAGAGTCTCATGGACTTTCCTGCCTGAGCTGACTCTGAACTATGATCCTGAGATCTTAGCCTCCTGCGTAGTGAGGATTACAGGTGTGAGCCACTGGTGCTCGGCTCCTTTTCCATTGTACATGACGTGCTGTGCCTTGCTTGGCTGGCTGGGTTCAGGCTCCTGTGCTGGAGGAGTGCGCAAGCCTGGCGCCACCCAGATGGGCATCCGCACAGGGGGAGGTCAGGGGAGTCAGGGCTGGGGCCCTGCTTGGAGTTGGCACAGGCCTCTTCTCCTGAGCAAAGAGAGAAGATGCTAGCATGTCACACATGCTCCTACCCTGGCTGTGAACACAGATGTAGACCATAATCTGGCAAGTGCTGGGGGAGCCCTGGAGGGAGGCCAGGAAGTCTGGCTTTGGGCCAGAGCAGACAGCTTCCTTTGAACATGGATCTGCCACCCACTCATCAGCCTGGGAAAGATGGGATGGGACACAAGAAAACATCGTTGTTTAAATGATGGTGAGCGGCGGCATTGCCAGAAATTATGCATGATTGTTCTGGGAAGTTCTGGACAGAGAAGCCATGGCAGCTTTTCACTGTGACCCAAGTGGTGGGGGGCTTGCTACGCGGCCCTGGGGGCTCAGGGCTTCAGGGGGTGCGTCAGCCGCCTTGCCTGCCTTTCTCCTGCCTTCCTGCCCGTCCTGCGGTAGAACGGGCCTTTCCAGGGCTGAATGTACACTTCCAGCAGAGGAAATGGCAGGAAGTCTACAGTGAATCATTCTAGGAATAATGGATCCTAGTCCCTTATCTTTCTTGAGGAATGGCAGTTTCCCGAATGGGGCTGACAGGTATTCCTGGGCTGGCAGTGCCCCAGTAGGCATCAGGAAACCTGGCTCTTCGAGCACTATGAATAGCACGGTAGTGTGGCCCTGGGCAAGTCACTTCCAGTGGCTGGTTGGAGGCAGAGCCTGAGGGCTGTGAAGCCCCAAGGAAGAATACAGGGCTGCTGCAAAGACAACTGGGACATCCTGACCCCATCAACACTGATGTGAACCTGGGCAAACTGCTGAGTATTTTATCCAACCACAGAGCAGGGCAATGCCCTTCTCCCCACTGGAATGAATGGGGGGTGGGGCATGCAGGGATAGGCTCCGCCCCCTTCCTGCCTCCCCCCATGACTCAAGGGCATTCTCTTCTGTCTGCTCTAAGCATCAGGGCATCAAGGCATATGTAGGAAATTTACTCACTTTGCCTCCATAGAGCTGAAGGCCATAAAAGTTTTCTTTGCTCTTTGGGCCTCCATCATGTGTGACCCTTTGAAATTCCATCCCTTCCAGGAGGAAATGGAAGATTTTGAAAACCCCATTGGAAAAGCTGGGTCTAAAAATCTCCAGACTTGGGGGTGGAGGTGTGGCTTGGTAGTGTGCTAGCTAATGAGTAAAAGCACCAGATACCGAGTCTGAGTTTAGGTCTCGGACCAAAAAACAAAAACTCTACATTGTAGAGGCACCAGCTGGGCGCTGGTGGCTCACGCCTGTCATCCTAGCTACTCAGGAGGCTGAGATCTGAGGATCACGGTTCAAAGCCAGCCCGGGCAGGAAAGTCCGTGAGACTCTTATCTCCGATAAACTACTAGAAACCCGGAAGTGGCGCTGTGGCTCAAGTGGTAGAGCGCTTGCCTTGAGCTGAAGAGCCTAGGGACAGCGCCCAGGCCGAGTTCAAGCTACACGACCGACAAAAAAAAAAAAAAAAAAAAAGTAATAGTTCTTGATTTCAAAAGTAACACCTATCAGGATAATCAAATTAATCCTTGTCTTTCTTTGCTGTTGTGCATTATCCTGGAGCCTGAAATCATGGCCTAGGCCCTGTCCCTGAGCTCAAGCTCAGGCTTACCCAGTAAGCCAGTGCCATTTCTGAGTAGTTTATTGGAAATCAGAATCTCATGGACTTTCCTGCCTGGGATGGCTTCAAGCCGCAACCCTCAGATGTGGGCCTCTTGTGTAGCTAGGATAACAGGCTCAGCCAGCAGCGCCCCGCGCATCCGTGTCTCACTAGCCGTCCCTGAGGCTCTCGCTGGCGTCATCAGAGGACTGCTGCGGGTCTGGCCTGTCAGGACTCCTAACTCACCTCCTGCAACTCCTGTTTCAGGAGAAGGCAGAGTTGCTTCCACGTAAGGTATTACAGGAAATAAAACTGGGTTGAAGCTCCCCATTAGCTAAAACTGAATTGCTGGGGGCAGGCCTGAGGAGCTGGGCTGAGCAGTAAGGACCCTGAAGGGGAATATGGGAACACCTGAGTTTTCTGGGCTGGTGTCTGAAAGGACTGGAGCAGTCTCTGTCCTGAAATCCTCAGACTGGGGCAATGGCAGAAAATGGCAGAGCACAAGGCAGGGGCCTGGGCAGACGTTTAGGGGGTGCCCCTCCTCCCCAGGCTGCTTCACCCCCTGGTGCCTGAGCATCGTGCCTGACAGGTCTGTTTTGCCCAAAAAGGAAATGCATTTGGCCTGTTTAGACTTGTTTCATTGACAAACAGTACAGAGAGCAGCTATGTGCCTTTCTTCTATCACCCTGCTAAATTTAGCGCTGGGTTTTTTCCTGTTCTCGGGTCTGTTTTAAAGCCAGGGAGAGACTGCGGGGCGCCAGGATGTCCTGTCACAGGACGAGGAAACGCCTGCTATTACCTGTTGTCAAGTGAACCTCGAGTCCTAGGGCTGGGGTGAGGTGGGCGGGCAGGGGAAGATGCTGATGAAAAGAGGAAGAGAAAGCATGTGGAGCCGACTGCTGCGGCTGGAAAACCCTGGAAACTGGCCATTGAAGGGGGCTCCCCATTTACTCTGCAACCGCAGGAGCAGCGTGCTAGCCCACGTTCACCCTCACTTCACACCGACCTCTGGGCAGCGTGCATTCGGGGGTGGGGGGGAGCCTTCATGGCAGTGTGGATGGGCCAGAGATGTGAACATCAGCTGTTCACCCTACTGTGTCCACCCTGCATGTGCGACGCTGCTTCCACCATCTTCTGAACACTGATTCTATGTCACCTTGTTCTATGCCCCGCCCACCCTGGACACCCTCCCTGTGATGGGTGCCCAAAGTCTGTCAGGGTGACAGGGCCTGGGGTCCAGGAACTCTGGGCTGCCATGTGGGCACCGGCAGGGTCCTGGGGAGAAAGGTGGGTGTGGGTCAATGGCGGATGTCATCAGGGGGCAGTTCTGCACTGGTCCTCTTGCTCTTCCTCTCCCTTCTCCCGTGTTTTTCCCTCTCTTTGGTAGATGACATTAGAGCTTGTACAAAACACACACGAGGACATTCCTGTTCTCTCCTTCCTGAGGCCCTGTGGGTACAATCAGCCTACACACACTCACTCAGCTACCCTCCCGATGGAACCTCTGGGTACACACACAGTCAGCCTACACACACTCATCAACCCTCCCGACGGAACCTCTGGGTATAGTCAGCCTACACACACACACACACTCAGCAACCCTCCCGATGGAACCTCTGGGTACACACACAGTCAGCCTACACACACTCATCAACCCTCCCGACGGAACCTCTGGGTATAGTCAGCCTACACACACACACACACACTCAGCAACCCTGCCAACGGAACCTCTGGGTACACACACAGTCAGCCTACACACACTCAACCCTCCCGACGGAACCTCTGGGTACAGTCAGCCTACACACACACACACACTCAGCAACCCTCCCGATGGAACCTCTGGGTACAGTCAGCCTACACACACACACACTCAGCAACCCTCCCGATGGAACCTCTGGGTATAGTCAGCCTACACACACACACTCAGCTACCCTCCCGATGGAACCTCTGGGTACACACACAGTCAGCCTACACACACTCATCAACCCTCCCGACGGAAGCTCTGGGTACAGTCAGCCTCCACACACTCAGCAACCCTGCCAACGGAACCTCTGGGTACAGTCAGCCTACACACACACTCAGCAAGGCTCCCGACGGTACCTGTAGCAGCAGGGTGGTGCCAGACTCCATGCCCATGCACTCACTTCCCTATGTTGAGGGGCTGGACCATGTCAGTGGGTGCTCAAGTGGGTGCCAGCTCCTCCCTGGTTACACTGAGTGTGTGGCACTGCCCGTCCAGGCCTGGATGCCTACTCCAGGGCTTCCCACAGGCAGCCGCATGCCTGTCTGCCTGTCGCACTCCGGCTCAGCTTCCCCCATCGGCTGTTTTCCATCTTCTTTTTCGTGGCCTCTTCTCTCTGCTGCCTCTTTCATGGTCTACAATCTCCATTTGTACAGATAGGAGCAGGACAGCAGAAGAGGGGAAGTGGCATTGAATAACAGGTCAGGGCAAGGGGCCCGTGAAGATGACGGGCTCTCCTGGAGCAGCTGGGAAGCCAGCGTGGACTGGCAGAGCCCCGCCCAGGGACCAGCTATCTGAGTGAACTGTGAGGCCCGAGGAGCACTGACTCTGGGGCAGGCCCCGGGTTTCGAGTCCGTTTCTATCCTCGTCTGCCATGAACTCCTGGATGAGTGCTCTACCCCAGGGCTTCTGTGCTCACAGGAGTGCGTCTGAAGGATGGCATCGGCTGTCACCGCGCCTTCGAGTCCTGTTGGGGGCCCTTGCACGGAGTGGCCATCCTCT